TGCTAGACTCGAGCTGGATGGATGCTGCCACCACTTCCAGAGGAGATTGGATCTGGATTTGGGAACTTGGATARTCAGATCTGACCAGTATCGCTACTCCTCCGCTAGCTCGGTTGCAGGCTGTTCTGTTGGTTGAGAAGATGTTGAAGTTTTTGATGGGCGGGGTGAAGGTATTGTTGAGGTTGGTTTCTTGTAAACATATGATGATTGGGTCGTGTTGTTGATTTATTAGTTTAATATCATTAAGTTTTTTGACAAGGTCGTTAATATTCCACTGTATTACATTTATGCTCATTGTATATGTTATATTGTTTGTTATTTATGATTGATTTTGTGTGGGATCTGTTGGTTCTTCGGGCATTAATTGGAATAATAAATTGCGAAATTTAGTTAGTTTAGTTTTCATTCTGGAGYTTTTTATCATGACGTAGGTTTCTTCGATTATTGCCATTAGTGTACGTAATTCGATGTTAGCTTCTTCGCATAGGRAGCGTATATTCRTGGACTTATTTGAAGAGCATTCAACCAGGTACTTGAATTGGGTGTATGTTATTGACAGGGGTTTGTCGTCATAGAATAATTTCTGGGCCGGAATGAGGGGGTCATCGGGGGTGTCGTCGTCAGTGATTGATGAAGAATTAGACTGAGATCTTATTTTTTGTTTTTTTTGTTTTTGAACTGGTTGCTGGGCTACTTTTAAAAGGGGGGTTGAAGGGGGGGACATTAGGGATGAGGTGTCAGATATGGATCTTTTGTTTTGAGTATTGGTCTGCATAGTTAGAGGTATTTGTTCGGTATTAGGCGGAGCATGGGAAGACAATATGATGTGTTGTTCGTGGGTATCTGACTGCTTGTTTTTCGTATTGATTTGGGCGGGGGGTATTGGGGGTATATGTTCTTCATTGGTGTTCAGATTGGTGTGTTGAACATCGTGTTGGGAAGTTTGGCTTTCTGCTTGGTCAGGATCGATGAAGGGTGGTGTCAGATCGCTTGTTGGAGTGTCTATAACAGTGTTTTTGGAAAATGTGGTAGGAGGAGAAAGTGTTTCGGAGATAGTAGAGACATTCTTTTTGCAGGTCTGAGCTGTGTGACCCGTTGTCTTACATGTGTAACAAGTAATCGTGTCATCCGTGAAAAAAATTCTGAACTGAGACTGATTATGGTTTAAGATCAGCGACCCAGGGAGTTTTATCGTGTCTTCGTGCTTGATATATATTTGTCTACGGAAACTTAGAATGTGTTCGTAGCCATCTAGGTTAATTCCAGCTTTAAGGAAGTTTATTTGTGATGTAGGTGATATACCCAGATTGTTTAGGGAGTGGAGTATTACGTGATTGGGTATGGACGGGCATACGTTAGAAATTACTATACGCTTAGCTGGGTTTAGTAGTCGTCGTATTTRTATTTCTTGACCGTTTATAATTATTATTTGTGTTTTAGACAGAAGGGATTCGAGAATTTCTTTACTGGATAGAAATATGCAAAATCTATTGTTGGAAATTCTGGAGACKAATAGTATATTTCTAGGTTGAACAATATGTCCAATGGCTAAAATATAATCTTTTTGTGGAACTCCGTCGATTGAATTGAATACTATCGCTTGTTCTCTGTWRGGAGTGGTCTCCTTTGCTGTGATGCTAGCGAAGTTATTGTGATTATCTGTATTATTTATATTGTTGCTGGTAATCTGACTGGTGTAATTAACGTTATCRGCGTTAGTTRCGGTCGWGGTAGTGATGACTGGGGGAAGAGGAGGGCTGACGGCGGTGTTCTTTKCGATAACGGTCCGTTGCGATATTAAGTTGCGCGTATTTAATTGGTGTGTTTTGGTTGAAGGTAATGTGAAATTTTTGGTATTGGTAGCAGGTGAATTTGTGATTGTTTTTTTGGGAGAGCGTAGGGTGTTTGCTCTGTTGAGGTTTGATGGGGGGGGCATTTTGCCCGATGTGTTTCTGTTCATTTCGAAATTGCCGAAGATAGTTGGGTGTATAATTATATAATAATCATATTACCTGATATCGATGCAATGGAATGTGACTGGGGTTTTGCTATCGAAGCTATAAAAGCGCACTCGCGGTAAGATAACACACGTGTTGCTCTGTCGAGTGAGGAACACGTACTGTATACGTATTTTTTATTATGCCATGTATAACCACTTATTACCGCCGCGATATTATATATATAGATAATGTAGATGATGATGAGGTGGTTGAACGCGCAGTGATGATTCTATAATAATATGTAATAACTAATAATAATAACAGCCATCCGACAATAAATACAAATAATATATATAGGTACGCGCCTATACTAGGTAGTCGTGAAGAAGTAGGTATATATAATATAATATTATAATATACCGCGGCGCGGGGCCATATTTATATAATAATATTATATTTTATTATTATATATATAATACGAAATAATCAAAAAATAATATAAAATTCAAAATGTATACGTATTGGAAATATGATGTTTATAATATTTAAAAGAACATTAAAATTAAACGTGTTTAAATTATGATACCTATTTTTAAAAGAACGTTAAAACTAAATTTGTTTAAAATATGATATAGGTATATAATATTTAAAAGACCATTAAAACTAAAGGTGTTTAAAATATTAATATATTCCATTTGCTGTGTGGGTATATTATATATATTATTATAGGTATATATGTGGCTTAAGCATAAATTGAAAGAACTGGATCTGCACTCCTATTGATTATAATACATGGTGGTAATCCTCTAGAAATCGTTTCTATCCAACACATGAATAATATATTTATTTCCTCGTTGTTATTATTTGGCGTCGTTCTGAAAGTTTAATTTCATTTTTTATCAATATTTCACTTAAAAATATACTTAAATAATACACTTACAATATGATAAGATCAGAGTTAAATGAATGCAATTCAATAAGATCTCTTAAAAACAACGTCTCAGCAATATGATCCTTTTGTAAATTATAATCATCAAATTGATTATCTAGAAAATAAATTTGAAACAATATAAAAAGTAAATTTTACTTTTTGGATAATTGATGAATTAATCATTCATGATTGGGATGATGAAAACGAGGATTTATTAGTAAAATACATACAACGTTTCACAATGTGTTTAACGTTATTCGTTGGTATGTATTTATTTATATATTGGTCATTAAATGTAGAATTTTGTTGTAATTGCACACACAAATATAATATGAATATATATATATCATATACAATAACGTAAAATAAAATTTGTATATTACCTCTAGAAGCTACGTGTTCTAGTAATGAATTGAAAAATGTTATAGTTGTAGGATCAGTGATGTTTGCTAAAATGATATCCAAGTAGTCGAAATCAATTCGGTACAGTGATAACAATTGTTTTAATCTGAAAAATGTGTGCTCAMTGCTCATAATATATCAATATATTATTTTATTTTTTGACGTAAACAATTTTAAATATTTATGGGAAATAGTCTATAATATCAAAAGATGCCGTGATCAATTTAATATTATTATTATTTTTTTTTTTTTTTGAACTTTTTAGTTGATTTTAACATTATAATTATATAACGGATGATTTTCCAAAAACATCTCTCATTTTAATTACATGGAAATTCAAATATATTAAATCAGAATATAAAATATAATTTAAGTATATAACTTATTATGCTGTTTATTCGAAAGTGCATCAACTATAATAACAAGTTAATATATGCACGAGTATCACTAACGATAATTTAAAGTTTAACCTATTTGTTAAAAATGCGATAGAACCCTATTATACACCTTTGAAGTTTAAATAATGACTCATCCAATCTAATTAACTTGAACATAATTAGGTATTTAAGAAAATATACAAATGTTTAATTAATGTAAAAAAAAAAAGAAAATTATCCCTCGATATCTGATCTTTAGTCATGACTCCAGCACGATTCGAGAGGTTAGATAAAATAAGGTTAAGTATGCAGTCGTCGTATCTATCCCCGTCGTCCTTATGGCCAAAGAACGATACGCGTCGTTCGAGGCCATAAGAGAGAGGTGGTTGACGGAAATATGTGACGGGGGGTCCCCTCGGTTGGACCATCCAGCGGAGACAGTGCGGGCAGACGACTTCTCAGTCACTGAGGGCTCGTTCGCTGGCAAAGTGGGCCCGGGCCATGCGGCAGTCGGTGCCACCCGCGGACAGCGGACGCGAGTGGACCCGTATCCTGATCCCCCGGACCTGCTCTGTCGGTGGGCTACCAGGAGGTACGGGGAGATGTCCTTTCACCTAACTCAGCTGATGACGGGGCATGGTTGCTTCAACCGGTTCCTCCGGAAGATCAACCGTGCATCGTCTGATGGGTGTTGCCATTGCGGTCTACCCGACGGCTACGGTGAGGAGTTCGACGACGCTCAGCACACCCTAGTTCGCTGCGAGGCGTTCAGGGGTGAACGTGAGCGTCTGATCGGACAATTTGACTCGGGTGGACTGGTGTCCAGGATGCTGGAGGTCCGGCCAACTGGACAGTGGTCGTCCGCTTCGCGAGGGACGTRATTTCGGTGAAGGAGGAGGCCGAGCGGGACAGGAAGTTCCGACAGGGTGTCGCTTTGTCAAGGCGTAGGAGGTTATGGGGGCACGCTCGGTACAGGCGGGCACGGCTGGGACCGCGCCGTCGGTGTTATGGCTTCCGGCCTAGGCTGCGGGGCCGTACTATCGATCCCACTTCTTTCTTCCTTTTGTTATTGTTGTTTGTTGTTTTTACAGGGCCAGTGGTTGGGGGATTGTCCTTCCACGCCTATTTTATTGCTATGTAAATATCCTGTAAGGGGCTGTGGTTGGGGGATTGTCCCTTCCGCACCTCAAGTACGATGTATTGTTTAGTTGAAATAAACGATGGCGACTCACCACTCGAAGCATTGCTTAACGGCGTTCCCGGGTGGTGAGTGTATTGCCGGTTTAAAAGAAGAAAAAAAAGGTTAAGTATGCAGTAATTAAAATAATTAAGATCTTAGAAAATTAGCCATTCAGGGAAAAACAAATCTACATATACCTAAGTGAAGTAGCAGTTTCCATTGTGTAGCTTTATAGGTGACTCATTTTCGTAATTTAGCTTTTTACCAATTTTCAAGTCATACCACATAATATATTAAGCTTATCAGTTAAACAAACAGGATTTCTTTAGGAAGAAGGTTGTTATTCTAACAATAATTTTCCAGAAATTACTATAAATATTTTATAAGAGAGCGGCTACTATCATGAAGGAAGATTGAATATCCTATTTAAAAAGTTGGGTGAGAGTTAAACTTTCTGCCTTATGCACGCCACAAATGCTTATTATAAATTTAATATATATATTTCTAGATCATAAATGTACAGAAAATAATAAAATTAAAAACTACAATTCTATAAGTACATGGAACTATGGAAACAATCTATCGCTCTAATGGAGCTGGTACAAGCATAACAAATATATTACCTCCACTAGTAATAGTTATTAATTCGATATTTTTTAATTAAAGATTTTTCATAAAATTATAGTTTTTACTTGTGTTTTTCTTCAGACAAACGCTCAATTTTGTTTGTTACTCCAAAAATTCGAAATTTACAATTTTTCCACGTAATACTATACTTTAATATACTTGAAATGATTAACGACAAACCTAAATACAATAAATAAAATATATGATTTTTAATAAGTTGCATATACAATTTATTTTGAAAAGTATTACTTATTTAATATACCTACCTCCGTCACTGTACAACCACCACAAATCTACAGTCCCGTTTTTTCGTTTCTCCGAATCGAATGAAAATTCTTCATTCTTTATTTTTAAAGAGCAATTATCCAACCTGAAATTGTTTTCTTATATTATCTTCTGATCTTTATAGTATTAGATTATTCTTCTTAATTTTAATAATAAATAATTTGAAAATATTGACGTCAGTTTAACCACGACAATGAATTGGATGGATGAACATAGACATATAGGTATACAGATTGAGGTTCTGGGTCAATCGACCGAAAACCATTCGACCGACAGGACAATCGATTGACAGCCAAAATACCGACGGTAATATTATAAGTCCACAGTAATTTCATTTCATTTATTTTTAAAAGATTTTTATTAATATTGTATAGTAATTATATTTAATAATAAAAAAATCATCTTTAAATATAATTTAATCGGGAACTTATGTCATATATATATTGCTGAAAGTTTTGAAAATTGGCACATGTCTCTTTTATTTAATAAAATAAAGCAGTTTAAACCAAAATTATTGGTTATTAGAACGTTATAGAAATAAGTAGGTCATAAAATGGATAAGCCATCCAGATAAGTTTCATGTTTTTATCTAACCAAGACATTTATCGCACAGCAACGAGCTCTCAATTGACAAGGTACCTTTTTCCGACTGTGCAAATTTAGTTGAGCCGGTAAATGGCGAAAATTACAAGGCCTTGGGCTATCCATTGAGCATGGAAATAATGGAAATTTCAGCATCAAAGTTCGGCAAATGTTGTCTCTTGCATTTTTGCCCGAAGAGGAAATTCCTGATGCACTCAAGGAAATTAAAGAAATTATGCCTAAAAATGCAAGTAATTTTGTACAGTGGTTTGAAGACAATTATACATTAGGTAAAATCCGTCGTATAGTGCGCAACACCGAACATAGAAACCCACCACTTTTTCCTCCAACATTATGGTAAATTTATGAAAACATTGGTAGGTACCTATATAATACTGTATTTAATAATTTTCAATTATTTATAAAGTTTGTCTAATACTCTATATTATCATATATTTATAGACAATGGTATTCTTAGGAAATCTAATTATGCGGAAAAATGGCATCGACGTTAGAATGAATTGGTAGGAAGGGCCCATATTGGTCTGTTGACGCTGATCAAAGAACTTCAAAAAGAACAAGATGAGGTTGATGCAGATATCGAAGCTATTCTTTAAGGAGCTCCAAAGCCACCCCCAACAAATCTTCAGCAAAAACGTGAACAGCGTTTGAAGATTGCTTTTAACAATCGTGAAGGTAAAACACGTCTGGAGTATTTTCAAGGTATTGCTCACAACCTAACCATGTAATGTACACTCTACAATCGCATACATTTATACATTTTTTTAATCTTTTCAGTATTTTTTTATTATATTATGAATTATTTTTTAAATTTTTAAACTATACAATTATTATCATTATTATTATTACACAATATTTATAAAAATCTTTTTAAAATAAGTAAAATTAAATGACTATGCACTTATAATATTACTGTGGGTATTTTGGTTGTCGGTCGATTGACCTTATCGGTTGATTGTCTTGTCGATATTTTAGTTGTCGGTCGATTGTCCACCTTCCACAGATTGATACATCTGGAATATTATTGAACAAGTCATGAAAGCTCACTCTGTGAATGTGCTGAATTCCGGTTTCTAAACGAGTAAATGGACATAATGGGTACATCAGGAAATTACATAATATGCTTAGATATATTTTAATAMCTCAATAAGTTACACAATTTAAAATTGAATGACATATTAATTTAAATATACTTTTGTTGATTTCTAATATTTTGATTTGATTGCGTTTCACACGGGATATCTTCATTGTGATCTAAGTGCTTACAACCACGATTGAATAAATTCTGACTATCATTAAACTCAGTTGATGACACACGAACCATAATCATAGAAATGTCATGAATTTTACCTTCACTAATMAAAAAAATATCCATATTTTAATATATATTTCAAGTATCAGTTTTTTATTGTAAAACATTTTAGATTAAACTAACTTGAAAATATTTAAATAAGTTTGAAGTTCTTGATATGGACAACTAAGCCAATCAGATTTGTATCCAACCATTGCCATATTTGGTTTCAATTGCCCATGTCCACAACTAAATATTAAGGGAATTGCTAAATCCAATTCTATGTTATCAATGATAACATATAGGGATTTGATTCCAGAAGTCTTTAACCATTGAATCCCTTTGTCAAGGTATATTTTCTTTTGTCTCGGAGAAAGCAATACCTTAAAAGAGATAAAGTTTTCATAATTTAAATACGAGTATATGAGATTGTTACACATTTTATCATTTTTTGTTACAGCTAACCTTTTCAATATTGACACACATTTGTACTCCATTATTATTTGTAATTAAATTAGCTAAAGAAACTAACTTTTTTCTAGACTTAGGATTTCCAGAAAAAACAATTAAACTAGGTAAGTAGTTTTTAATATGGTATTGAATAGTATCGGCCATGTACATGTTTTTTATAACTATTTTTAATTGTTGTGTTTGCGTAAAAGATCCCCAATTTATAACTTGATATAAATATAAATTTTATTAATGGAAAACTTTATTAGTTGGTGTGTAAGGTTTATTATTAAAGCGATCGAACAGACCTTCATTTTTACTTCTAGCAAGTATGTATAAAACACATACTGCACAACCAACATTTAATGACATTGTTAGATTAATTATTATCATTAATGAAGAACAGATAATTGCTGCAGCAAGACTTGACCATTTGTTATAAAACTGAAAATAAATTTAATAATATTTTAATGCTATAAAATATAAATGTAGAAAGTTATCAATAACTATTTACAGACATATTCTTAGTATTTTCTGGACATCTTCTTAACACTCTTCGCCAAACCAATCATACCTCAGTTACCTACTTCGTTTGTAACGCCTAATTGTTTAGTTAAAAATTCGAACATCAAGGAAGATCTTATCTGACCTAACATATTATTATGTTTTTAAAATATTTTCTTCAATCACTGCTATTTTTAATTCTGCAACCACAATTCTATACAGGACCATTTCCCTGGCACCCTCACTTTTGAATTTCAAAACAAAACCAAGAGCCTTTTTTTGTGCATCGTTTGTGCTCATTTGTGCTGAAAGTCTCGACATTTGTGCTTTCGAACTTTCTGAGATACAGACGTTTTTGTTAGGGGATGCTGGAGAAATGGTTGCACCCCCACTTCGGAATCGCAAGAAAAAACCAAGAGCCTTTGTTTGTGCATCGTTTGTGCTCTTTTGTGCTGAAAGTCTCGACATTTGTGCTTATGAACTTTGCGAGATATGAAGGTTTTTCTTTTAGGGGTTCCGGGGAAATGGTTGCACCCCCACTTTAACATTTCACTATTTGAATCATGCCGTGATTTGTGTGGAAAGTTTAAACCATTCAAAATCGGCATTCTATATCGGGTAAAACCCTTCAAAACCGAAAATAATGTTTTCGTTTTCAAGCCCTGGTAATTATAACCATTTTACAGGTTCAAACCGTTAAAAATCGAAAGATAGTGTATACTTAATAATATAACGTGAATGAATGTGAAGACTTTCCACACAAATCAACGGCATGATTCAAATAGTGAAATGTTAAAGTGGGGGTGCAACCATTTCCCCGGCACCCCCAAAAGAAAAATCTTCATATCTCGCAAAGTTCAAAAGCACAAATGTCGAGACTCTCAGCCCAAAAGAGCACAAACAAAGGCTCTTGGTTTTTTCTTGCAATTCCGAAGTGAGGGTGCAACCATTTCTCCAGAATCCCCTAACAAAAACGTCTGTATCTCAGAAAGTTCGAAAGCAAAAATGTCGAGACTTTCAGCACAAAAGAGCACAAACGATGCACAAAAAAAGGCTCTTGGTTTTGTTTTGAAATTCAAAAGTGAGGGTGCCAGGGAAATGGTCCTATTCTATACATAGTAAAAAATAATCTCCATATGCATACTCAATAATTTATCTTTCTATACTGTTTATTTTGTATAAATAAAATATATAAATGAAGAGTTATATAATATTTTTTTTGTAAAAATCTTATCAAAAATAAATCTTCTTCTTTTCGTCGATATTTCGGCTTTTAATGTAATCCCTTCAAATAAATTTGCTTTCATCTCATATCCTTTTCTTCATATCTTAAGAGTAGTCTAATTACCTTACAGTTTTTTCCAACAAGTTCTTCTTCAAGAAAATATAATAATATTATATATTATAATAATATAGATATGTATATTATATTATTAACTGATAAGTAAATACCTTGTATTTTGGCCTCCAACCCAAAGGTTCAGAATAGGCAATAAGGAAAGTACAATAATTTAACATAGTGTATGCAATTAAATTACAAATTGTTATCAATTTGAAAGAAACACCTGAATTAACTAAAAAAATACATACCTATTAACTAATAATTTTAAATGATCCCGAAAATTAATTAATAAACTATTACATTTTGATTTTCGAAATATATTTCTTTTTTATACTATTTATTTAATTTTTCAGAATCATTTTGTTATTTAAAATCAATAGTTTATTGTTTATTACATACTCTATAACATATTACCTCCATATTTAATTTTAATACAAAATAATGTTGATGATACAACTATGGTAAAAACATGGGCACGATACGGTTCATTACTTTTTCCATAGCCTTTTKCTAAATATTTAATAAGAGGCAAAACATCATCTTGTCCAATTCTTTTTAATAATTTTGAACCAAATATTAATGCAGTTAAAGTATTACTTATAGAAGCCGTAATAACACCGATATAAATAAAGAACTTCGATAATGAAATTCGATAAAATAGCTAAAACATTAAATAACAAATGTTAATTTCCATGTACAACAGGTGTGCACATAATATTATATTTATAATTAATGATTATCTACTGTTGTTGTAAATCCTTCATAGCAGCCTCCAAAAGGACAATTTGCAAAAGAAACATCGTCAAATATTTTTGCATTCATAGCTTCTCTCAATTGAACCGACCCAGATAATACTATTATTACAATATACATAGTTGTGGTAATAATAATCGAGAATAAAGTTCCTTTTGGTATTGCAACGTTTGGATCCTAAAAAATAACCAATTTTATGATCATACTTCTTGAATTAATATTATTTAATTTACTTTAAGATCTCCTGCTGAATATTTTAATCCAGAGTGTATTCCAGTGAAAAATGGAAAAAATTTCGTGAACATTGTAAGAAAAGATTCATGAACGTTTTCAAAATTGTCATATTTAGGATACAAGTTTTTTTCAAACGTTTTCACTGGAATATAATATGAACTCATGTTAATTGCAAATAATTTATAATAAATAGCAATGAAATATATTACTGTTAAATCTAGTGATAAATTCTGCCTTTAACAAGGGAGTTGGTGGTCCAATATATGCGCCTATAATGACATTAATGAAAGCGAAAACTACCGCTACTAGAGGAGCAATGTGTATCTTAAAATAAAACGTTTAAAAATTTTTTAATAATTTATGAAATATTTGTATACATACTTTAGCTTCTTTKTCCTTGTCGATACAACCAATTATAATCATAATAATTATTATATACACTACTCCTATGTATATTGAATATGAAATAATATCAATATCGATTGCATCCTTGAGTAAAAATGTAAAAAATGTACAAAAGTATATTGTGTAATTAGCCGCAGAAACAATGTTAGCAAATGCTAATATAATACCAATGTATGTTCCAAATTCTGGACCAATTGATCGGGAAATAATGAAATAAAGACCTCCTTTACATAAATAAAATATTAATTCATTCATTAATAAAAGTATATTACTAAAAAAGTATAATTTTATTAGAAAAAAGAGAAAGAAAATGAAAACAGAGATAATATTTTTGATATGATTTTTTTTTTTTTAAATACCATTGCCTTATAAGAACCCTTAAATTATATTTTGAAGCATTAATGTACTAAAAAAATGGAGGTAATGGATGAACATTGAACATAATATATATTAAAACGATGAATTATTTAAGTACGGTGTTGAATATTTGGGTGTATAGCAATTATAATAATGTAAAGCGATTATTACAGTAGTTTTTGAGTGTAAAACATATAATTCTAACCTTACATAGAATACCAACAAAAAAGTTTCAAATATAAACCTCATACCTCATAACCTAACCCAAMCTAACCTCATACTTTTATAATTATTGGTTCTGTAGATGAGTGATATGGTACACAATCGAAAAAATATCGAACCGTAAATACMTTTGGGTAGGTAGCTATAGTTGATTTAAATTACTAAATAATATACAAGTATACATTTTTTTTAATGTATTAATTTTATGTTTTGAATTTTCAAAAATTTTAACCAATTTTAGATTCTAAGCGGAGCGATGAATGTAATGATTTTATTATGATGTGTGTTTTTTTTTGTCTGTCATCACGTTTTTGGGCAGTAAAAGTGCTTCGATTTTTGACTTCAGTACTTCGTTCGATCAGAAAGTGAATTTAGTTGGGGGGTCAAGAGAGTAAAAAATTCTCAATATTTTTCTAAATAATTGGGATAAACAAAATTAAAATTAAGGGAAATTTTACACACAATCAGTTTTCAATAAAATCGATTTTGGTTTTTGATGTAACTTTAAAACAAATGGCCATAGATACATGAAATTTTCACCGAATGTTTATACAAGTATATTCTATCCACTATGCAATTTTCAAACAATTTTGACTTAAGATGAACAATTCATAKTTTTTTTTATAAGTATTCAGAGGTTGAATTTTGACAACGTACTTAAAAATCACGAAAATTCATAAATTATTTTATGCTAGAAATTCATAAAAAACTTTCCTTTTATATCTAAGATTTGAAAATTTAATACAAGGCTCCTAACATATTTTTACAAAGCAGTTGAATAATAAAAGAAATACATAGTCACAATTTTTTTTTACAAGCATTCAAATTTTTAACTTTGGCAACATACGTAAGAATCAGTAAATTCACCAACTATTTTAAGCTAGAAATTCATAAAAATTTTTCTTTTTAAATCTAACATTTGAACATTTTAATAATCTATAATATATCATAGACAGAATAGCTCAGAATCGYTTTTCATATAGAATGATATAATATCATTAGATTCAAATTTAATTCCATCCATTACAGTAACCTACTGTACAGCAGAGCGATATCCATGACTTACCCACTTTCTTTTCTTCTTTTAATGTTGAAATAAATAATTTATATTCTAAAACAAATTATATAAAGATCTTATTTTTGATAATTATTTAAGTTTTATCTTTCTTAACGTTAATCAATCCTGGGTAAGTTAATGATTAATTTTACATAAATTATCATCTTCAAAATTTAAGTAATTTCCAAAGTTTATAAATTATAATAACTTAATAAGATAAGAATTTAGTTGATTAATAAACTAACTATGTAAGAACAAAATGACTAATAAAACAACTTATTCATTTTTATCTTGTTATTTTAGTTATTCTTTAGATTTATAATTATTTTTAGTGTAGTATTTTTGACAAAATGTCTTCAAGAATTAGTATATTTTATCTGATAATTTAGTAACTCAGCGGTTCTCAAACTATATTACACGCACCACTGGTAGTACACGAAATACTATGTGGAAGGCTGCATGGTGGTAGAACAGAAAATTTAAAATAAATATTAGATTATTAGCGTAATAATGATTTTGCAATGTGGTGTGTATTTTTTAATATTCAGATAGTAAATTTCAGATTTCATGGGAAATACGTCAATAAAAAAGATGCCGTATATTATATAATTGTAGATAATATGTACTTCAAACGTACTTAGATAAATTCTGCCAATTCTGGTTAATTTATATAAGCGCTTAATTTTTTCTTTTCAGCAGTTTAGTTTATTGTTGTTAGTCAACGTAAGTAGTTAAGTTTATGTCTTTAAATATTTATGCTCTTACTTAGCTTGTGTTTATTATGATAAAAATTTACAACCGACATATTTTATATGCTGCTAAAACAATAAAATCATTGATAAGTTGCTGAATAGAGCAAAAGACAATATATCTACGTTCTAACTGTTCAGTAAGTTTAATTTCAAAATCGGAAAGCACAAGTCAAGATTATGTGAATAATCCTATGAAAATAAGAAAATTTGTAAGAAAATATAATTCTGAGTACATTACTATTGAATTCACGGTCATAGACGTAGGCAATGAAGATCGTTCTCAATATGTCATCTGTTTTGAAATTTTTTCGAACAAAAATATGAAACCGTCACCTTTCTACAAACATAAGACGTTAAAAATAAAACCGAGGGACTATATCATTCAATAATTATCAGAGATAAAAAGCAAGATAGAAAATTATATCATCTGTTAGTGGTAGTACTGAAATAACAGTGGAAGAATTTCTCTCAGTGAGCTTATGAATGGCGAAGTGTTGAAAACTTCATACCGTCGACGGAGAACTGATTTTACCAGCGCAAAAGATATGGTAACTTGTGTGTTATGTGAACCATCAGTTAAACAACTTGATATGATATGACTGTCAAATGATACTGATCGCCGCGGGGTTTAAAATATGGCATTGCACGTTAAATAAAAATGAATTAATAAAGTGAAAAATAGTGAATTTTTCAATACAACCTGATGAAAGTACAGATGTATCAAACTATGCTCAAATTATCATTTAGGTGGGGCATATATTTTAAACTATAATTAAAGATTTAATAGTAAAGCGTGTGCCAGAACAATTTAAACTAGTGCTCCAGGAAGCCTTAATGGTAGTAAATTTTATTAAATCTCGGGGTCTCTAATCTCGTTTATTTACAGAACTGTGTTCTGAAATGGGAATTGAAGACATTCAATTGCTTTTAAATACGAAATTGAGATGGCTTTCTCGGGGAAAAATGCTTAGTAGGTTATTTTAACTACATTTTGAGGTTCAGTTATTCCTAGGAGAGACCAACCCATTTTGAAATCAAAGATAAATTGACAGATAACCTGTCAATAACAACATTGGCATAATTATCTGACAATTTTAATCATCTCAATGTATTGAATTTAAGTTAACACGGTAAATCAATAAACATATTTTCAATGAATGAAAAATTAAGGTATTAATTAATATAATTGAAATGATAAGTAAATATATTTCGAATGAAAACCTACAGTCTTTTCCTAATTTGGATCGATTTGTGACAGAATACGAACTCCAATTACTGGAAGATGATCTCATAAAAACAAAAAACACAATTCTAAAATTCTAAAAACAACGTTTGAAGAATATTTTAAAGAACATTATTCTGAACAGTTGAATCCGTGCACTTTGTAGCCCGTTAGAAATCTTACCACTTTTAWGTCACCAACTGTGTGTTATATTCGTTATCTGTGATTATACTAGCAGTATATTATAATACATATAGATAGATAACGGTTAAAATATACTGAGTAATAATCTTACAACGAACTTTAATTTAGTTATTCATTATGTAATTTATGTTGATAAAAATTTATTAGACCTATGAACAGAATATAGGCTAAGTTAAAAATGTATAGGCCCAAATAACAGTCAGTTAAATACTTGAACTGTCAGACTTTTCTCGATAAAACGAATAAAATTTTATAATAATTAACTAAATTAAATATCGATTAGATATTATAAATATATAATATATATAATATAAAGATTACTACTTAGTATATTTTAACTATTATATATCTATGTGTAATGTGAATAAAATCATACTGCTATCATAACTTCAGGAAACGAATTTAGTACACAGTGATACGAAGTGCAGGCAGCTAATTCTATAATAACAATAAGCAATCAATCACTAATAGCAACCATCTATAAATAAACAAAAATGTCCAACATAAATCTCAAAATGTCTGTTTTGAGCACCTCTCGGGGTTGGGCCTGTCATTTTTTAACTTGGCCTATTTTCTGACCATAGGTCTAATATATCTCTGCTGTATCAATTTTCGTTGCAATTAGTCCAATCGTATAGAAATACATAAAGGATAAACAAACAGACAGAAAGATATCCATTATTATATATACAGAAGATATAGATTTTTTGGATAAGAAACTCATTTATTTTGGATTTTGATAAAATTTCTAGCACACTAACAAACAATAAAAAAGAGACTTTGATAGAATTGTCATGTGATGAAAGTTTTAAAATGTAATTTACTAAATTAAGATTGGGTGAGTTTTGGATAAAGATTAAAAACGTATATCCGTTGCTGTCTAAAAAAACATTGTTATTATTATTACAATTATTCAAAACCACTTATCTTTGCAAAAATGGATTCTCCTCAATGATCGAAATAAAAAACAAGTTTTGAAATAAACTAAATTTACGCTTACGATTAAGTAAGACTTAAACAGATATTTCATTTCTAATATCAAATCTACAAATCCATGGTTCTCATTGAAATATTGTTATTTTATTCATATCTTACGGAATATAGGTACGTGGATGTTTTTAGAATAGTTTYGACATTTTTGGAAAAATATTTTGGTAGCTAAGTTTTTTTAAATGTTTTCACTGTTTTCAGATTAATTTCTAAACATTATCATCAATACATACTTTTGTGTGGTATCTAATTACCTAATATTAAACTTAATTAATAATCATTAGGTACATGCATTTTTATTGAATTTTTTAAAATATATAAGTATAGAAAATGTATTAAATTATAAATTATAATAGAATACATTTAAGTTTATTAATATTTTGTTTTTATCATTTTTGAATAAATCAAGTGTTTATATTATAAAATATTACTTAAGAGGTGCTGCATATACCTTTGTAACATTAATTTAATGTATGATGTTTTTAATTATTGTTATTGAATTAAATACTACCTTCTTTGGTTTTTCCATTTGTGCTGATTGCAGTCAATGAACAATTTGTGATTAGAATAATAAGCAGTGAAAGTATTGCAATAAGAAATGAATGCAATATTCCCGCGTTTCCTACTATCATCGGTATCCTAATGAAAAGCATCACGTTCCAGGTGCTGAGAAGACATGGAATCAATACGCCAATGACCCACCCCAGTTTTATTCCTGGACTCAAATATGCATTGTTATCTTCATATCGGTAAAGTTTATTGAACGATTGAATCTTTAAATATAATAAGATATATTATTATAAAATTTATAAAATAAAATATAGATGTATAAGATAAAATTTTATAAAACTTTTTTAAAAATAAATATAGATACAATTCAGATCAGTTAGATCAGTTATTTACATGAAAACCTGAGGAAAAAAACCACCCAGTGGTTTATCTTCTTTTTGAGTCATATAAACACTAAAAACTAGTTTCTAATCTTAAAAATTAAAAAAACTAATACATTTTGTTTATTTTTAATGTTAAGAATTTCTAAAAAAGAAGTTTTCTTATAATATTCACATACAAACACTCAAGATTCATCCTATAGGTAGTTAGATTACAAACATAATGCATTTAAATAAACTCAAATGAAGTCGTTGAATAACTGTTGTACTATGCTGAAAAATTTAATTTCTAGATTGCAAAACAAAATTTCTCTAATCTGTATAATTATTAAAATCAATTTAATTTAAAATATTATATAGTTTTTATTATAAACATACCTGATTAATCCACGGACGATTTTTGTTTTTAATTTCTTCTAGTTCTGACATATTTTTAAGCTGTCAAAATTATAAATGCTACAGAAGAATCCGATGTTTTTTATAATATATAGTAGTTGAATTATAATTTTAATTAATTAAATCACTTAGGGTCCCAAAAATTTAAAATACTATTAATATACTGTAAAAGTTAACGAGATCTTCACAAAAGATAAAAATAGTGAAATATATTATGATTAAGTAAATGTCTCTGGAGGCTCTAATAATGAAAATTTAAACAAAACAAAACTAGGCATAAAATATATAATTATTTTGAATTATTAAATATTTTCATTAAAACAACAAGATATTTAATTAATGCGAGCCATATAATTATGTTAGATGATAAACATATATACCTATATGAAAAATATATATACATACATACATACATACATACATACATACATACATACATACGCATTAGGTGCTTTAAAATACTAATGCATTATTGAAGAATATTTATACATATTACATACACCCTTTCAGTTAATGAAATAATATCACTAATCTACCTTAAATAACACTAGAACACGAGAACATAATATATGCATAGTCCCTTACATTATTTAACGTAAACACGTAACTTATTCACTGAGCTTTACAGGACAGCAGCAGGAGTTGTTACTAGGTCTGTCTTCTTCAAAGGATGGTCTCAATTGCAGTTCTAAAATTCTAACCGTTTCTAAGGACTGCAATATTCTAACCCATACTGACTTATACTTTATATTTATTCTCATATAATTTGTATAATTATTTTTTTCGTATTTTTATTCTAATATGAATGCGAAAAAAATCGTAAAAATAAATCGTTGTCACAACGGTTATAGATATCAAAATAATTACGATTTTACACAATTTCACAAAGAAACAATATAGAAATAAATCATTAATTCAAAATGTAATATAATTGTTACCATTGGAATCACAAAACAAAAAGTGTATTTAAAATATTGATTCAATATGGCGTATAGCTATGTACAGCAAAATGTTTAGTAAAAGTGTGGTAGTGGCCATTGGTTTATTTTTTATTTTCACCTGTCCATGCATAATCGAATACACTGGCTCTAATAAAGCATCAGATATATTAGTTAAGATTGTTGACGAATGGTTATGAATTACTTCCTCGAATCGTGCTCTGGTACTTTTTAGATATTTCAATTTTTTCGAGTAAATTAAGTGACTGTTTGGATGGGTTATTAAAACTTATATTATGTGAATGAACATTAAAAGTAATTAATACCCGTGAGCTGTATTAATTTTTATAGAGAGTTTGAATATGAAAAAGAAWTTGCTTTTAAATTGTCATTATGTGTATTCTGAACGGGCTGGGAACGAAAAACAATAGCTCGTGATGCCTGGTCACCAAAAGGTCCATTTCAATGCTCCCCCCCCCCCACTTTCAAAATTTGAACTTCTAGCAACGCCAAACGTTTGTGCATCGTTTTTGCAGAAGTGTACACCAAATTCCATCGTTTGTGCACAAAAACTTAAAGCTCTATCCCAAAAACAAATTGGGGGGGAGGGACCATTGAAACACACCCAATTTTTGGAAAATTAAAATTTTTAAAGTGCCAAACGTTTGTGCAGAAATGTTCACCAGGTCCCGACGTTCGTGCACAAAAACTCTCAGCGCTATCCCAAAAACAAAATGGGGGTTGAGGCATTGAAATGAGCCACTTCCTTTTTTGAAAATTGAAATATTTTCAAATTAATAGAATATTTCGTTCAGAAAATAGGTTTAATAGGATTTTAATTTTGTCATGTGAACGCCTAGAAATAGTAGTTACCTATATAATATATATTTTAAATATATTTTTTTTTTTATTAAGTAATATTAGGTGGACATATTCCGCAAAAAGATAATACAACTTAATATGTAAACATAATTACCTATTGATATAATTTTTATCAGCTATAGATTTTTTATTAAAATGTTTTTATTTTTTTATGAAATATAATATATTATTTTTATAATTTTTATCAAATTTAGATTTTTCAATTTTTTTTATTAAATTTTCGATTTATATGTAAATTTGTTGTCGAATTAAGATTTTTAATTAATATTTTTACATTTTTGTTTACATTTTTTTATCAAATAAAAATTTATTTATTTATTAAATATACAATTTATTAACAATAAAATATATTATTCCAAAGACACATAAACTGTACAAAACATTAATATTGAGATTCGTTTTAATATAATGTATAATATTATTATAAATTATACATAAATACTAGTAAATTATTACTCCCAGTATAAAGCTTATATATATTAGATTTTTATTTTTGAGTAAAAAAATTTGACATTTTAAAATGTTATTTACATATAATTATGTTTATTTTACATAGGTACTATATATAGTATATAATATCAAGTGTGAAATAACATATCATATTATTTAATATTATATTGTTTCTAATAATATATCTAAATAAATGAAAATGTATAAATTATTATCTATAACTTACCTTGTAAGTGCCCTATTTAAACCCGAATGGGTTTCAGTTTTAGTTTTCAAAACACTCATTGATAGAAAGCACATCCGGGATCGCAATTATTTATTACCTCAATGATGTTAGGTCGTATATCAATTGGTTGAGTAGCAAAAAAATGTTAAATGTTCGCAAATTACACAAAAACAAAACTATTTTTTAATTATAATTTGTGAAAACAAGCATACAAATTCATAGGAATCGAATATTATGAGATCAAAAATAAACACCCTGACTGTTCTAGTGAAGGTTTTATGCTRGGATTATGTTTGATTTTTATATATTAATTGTTATCTGAACACAATAGGTAATTATGTTTACATATTAAGTTGTATTATCTTTTTGCAGAATATGTCTCACTAATATTACTTAACAAAAAAAAAAATATTTAAAATATATAATATATTATAATATAGGTACTGYAGGCAACTACTATTTCTAGGTGATCACATGACAAAATTAAAATCCTATTAAACCTATTACCTGAACGAAATATTCTATTAATTTAAAAAATATTTCAATTTTCAAAGAAAGGAGTGTCTCGTTTCAATGCCCCCGCCCTCATTTTGTTTTTGGGATAGCGCTGAGAGTTCTTGTGCACTAAAGTCGGGATCTGGTGCACATTTCTGCACAAACGATGCACACACGTTTGGCTCTTTAAAAATTTAAATTTTCCAAAAATTGGG